ATTCGATATGACATGGCATGGCAATGGTTGCGTTTGCGTTTGTTGCATGGCTCCACTAACCCTGTCCCTACCCGAGATGCAGCGAGTATGCAGAACGCTTATTCAGACCGGACCAGAACACGCGGATATAGGTTTGCTAGGTATGTTCGACTTCGACTCATGCAGAGTTGATGGTGTGCTGCTTGTTTATACGTGGGAGTTACAGATGCTGACGGGAGAAGAAGAAGGTAGTGAAGAATCGGTGATTTTTATTAGATAATGGTAGGTAGTAGGTTAGTTAGATAGGTAGGGATGGTATCTTTGTGTGTGGGTCGCGTTCACTGCGTTTTTATTACAAGATGCGAAAAGAAAAAGGAAAGAAAAAAACAAGATGCAATCAGATGAGATGTCCGGATCGGTCGGGCGCAACAAGTCAAGTCAAGTCATCAAGCCAGTTGAGAAAAGATGGAAAAGAAATAAAAGAGAGAGGGGGAGAGGGAGTTTAGAAGTGAGGGGCGTTGAGGAAGAGACCCATGAGGACACCACCGATGGTTCCGGCGATGGGGATGGTCATGATCCAGGCAAAGACGAGAAGGCCTACTCGCTGCCAGTTGACGGCCTTGAAGGTACCGTTGCAGAGACCGACACCGACGGTGGCACCAGTGATACACATACTGGTGGAGACGGGGAGGGAGTACTGGGAGAAGACGAGGACACAGATGGCGGCACCCATTTCCATGGAGGAGCCACGGGATGGAGAGTGGTAGGTGAGCTTGTTGCCCATGACCTTCATAATGTTGTAGCCGTAGGTGATGAGACCGAGAGAGATGGTGAGGGCGAGAACAGCGAGCTGCCAGACTGGGACGGGAGCCTTGGCCTTGGCGGCGTCACCGGTGGACCAGGCACCGTAGATGACAGCCCAGGGACCGACGGAGTTTCCGATATCGTTGGCTCCGTGGGCGAAAGATGCGGTACAGGCGGTGAGAACCTGGACGAAGGAGTAGGTGTGCTCGACCTCGTTGGGGTACTTCTCGGCAGCGTCGTAGACACGGGCCATGCGGGATCCCTCAGGGGTACCGGCGATACCAGACTGAGCAGCGTGGATGTCATTAGTGCATACCGTACAGGAGACAGCGACGATGGTGGCAGGAATACGCTTGATGATGATCTTGATGTTGTGGAGTTCATAGATCTGGCCGGGGCCCATTGGGTTGTCGTGGAGAGTGCGGAGAGCCCAGCCGAGAGGACCACGCTTCTTGCGGAGCTTAGCGTTGAGACGGGCGTCACCGATGGCGTTGAGTTCCTTCTGGGTGAGTGGAGGAGCGTCGATGGCAGCGAGCTTCTGTTCCTTCTCGTCGGGGGTGCTGGCACCGTTCTCGGCCTTGCCCAGGGCATCACCGGCAACGGGAACGTCCTCGAGCTCGGGGTCGTGCTGGACGACGGCGTAGTTGGGGACGGAAGCTTGGTCAGCTGGGGAGACGGGAGCACGCTTGAAGAGGAGAGGGCCCATGAAGGCGTGGTACCACTTGACGGAGGCGTCCTTCTTGATGACCTTGGCATGGACATAGGGGACGAAGAAGAGACAGGCGAGCAGGAAGACACCACCGGCGGTTCCCATGGTGACGGCAGCGATATACCAGGCTGGCTTCTTGCCGAGGCCGAGGTTGGGAGAACCCTTGTACACGATGGAGAGAGTACAGATGGTTCCGGCAATCAGGAAGAAGAAGGGAGAGGTGTACACGGCCCATGGCACGGGGTCCTTGCGCATGTGGACGACGAGCTTGATGAGCATGAAGATGGAGGCAGCGAAGGCACCAGAGATGGCGGGAGCCATTCCGAGACCAGCGAAGATGGCACCGAGACCCTTACCCTTGTTCCATCCCCACTGGACCTGGGATGCACCGACGGTGGCTACACCCACACCGGCAACGGAGGAGATGAGCGAGTAGGTCGAGGAGACGTGGGCGGAGTGGCGAGTACACCACATGACCCAGGAGGAAGCACCGGCCAGAGCAGCAGTGAAGGCGAGCATCTGGACACCCGCGTTGCCCTGGAAGGCGGAGTTGGGGATGATGCCGTTCTTGATGGTGTCTGCGGTTCTGGCACCGACGGTGATGGCACCGAGCAGCTCGAAGATGGTGCCGAAGATCATGGCCTGGCGGTAGGAGATGGAGCGAGAAGACACACTGGTCGCCCATGAGTTTGCCACGTCGTCTATGCCTCAGTCAGTACATGATTTATCGGCTTCTGCTGTTGATGATGAAGAGATCACTTACTGGCGCCGTTGTTGAAGGCGTCAAGCATGGCAAACATGGTGCCAATGGCGAAGATGTAGGTGTACTGGTCGAGCATGATGGCGGTGTTGCTCTGGTTCTCTCTGTCTCTCTGTCTGTCTCTCTATGTCTTGCTAGAGGAGCAGGGCGGAAGGCGAGAGAGGGCGGACGAGGGAGAGTGATGGATGAAACAGAAGAGAAGAACGTCAAACGAGCGGCAGGTCCGTCTTTTTAACCCTCGCGCACCTACGAGCAGCGACCGGCGCCTCTCCCTGCTCTCTTTGCTGCTGCTGCTGACTTTGCGCCGAACTCTGACTGGGCTCCGTCCAAGGCGCATCCCACGTGGGAACCGCAGCAGCGCAACAGGCGAACCCGACAGGCAAAACAACAGGAAACAACAAGGAAAGAGCCAGGGAGAGAGAGGAAACTGACTGGCCAGGAAAGGCTTCTTCGCTCTTTCCACTTTCTTCCCTGCGCTCCTTCTGCGTCCTCTTTGCTTTTTCTGTTCTGCCTTATCGACCCGCCCGCCCCCCGGCTGTTTTCCACTTGGCGCGCCTTGGCATGACCCTTGGCCGCCATGGGTCGCCGCACCAATCAGCGTGCCAGGATCAACCGCGTGCTCGCCCTTCCGCCGCTGATTGACGCGCCCAGTGGCCCGGGCAGACGCAACAAGCTCGCAACAAGCTCCAACCGGCCGCTTGGCCTTGGCGCCTTGTTCTCCTCTTGTCTTGTCCTCTGCTGCTTGTCTGCCTCGGACGACCCGTCACTTTCTCTTGCACATCGTCCGCCTGCTTGTTCGCCTGCTTGTGTTTTGCTTGTTCGCCTTCCAAGACGCAGGCAGATATTGGCAGGTATTAGCAGCAGCATTGGCACTCCCGCAGACCGCTCATGTCGTGTGCGTTTTTACCCGGAAAAGACAGCCTTGGTAGCGAAAGACGAAAGACGAGACGAGTCCCCGCTGACGATGGCTACTATTTCTGGAATTCACCGAGAAAGGCGAAAGGCGAAGCGAGAGAGAGAGGAAAAGGTCAGTGGTGTAGGGTGATGGCAAGGAGTCGCATCCCTCAGACGCAGCGTCGACCACCAGGCAAGGCCAACTGCAGCATGTGCCCGGGAAACGCCGCCCAGCGCCTCTTTGCCTATCTCGTCCCCTGCCTCACTAACTGCTGCCACCACCACTACTGCTGCTGCTACCACCACAACTACTACTGCTACTACGGCGACGGCTGCGACTAATTTGTAACTTCCAACGCCCGCCAACGCCTACCAAACCCCCGGGCATCCTGTGCTCCATCCTGTGCTCCGCTGAACGGGTAAAAATAGACGAAAGAGTCACGCCCGCCGCCCGATGCACCTTGCTTACTCGGGCTCCTCCCTCCATCTGCCATCCGTCCCACCACCCACCACCATCCACACCACCAGTAAGTACACTACTACCGCTACTACTACCGCCATTGTCACTAGAGTCGCACCAGAGGACCAGCGTCAGATTCATGTAACCTGTCAGCCAACCATCTCTGCCTCATGCCGGCGACTCCTATACTTATATACCACCACTGCACCCACCACTCGGTCATCCGCGGTCTCTCACTTTCCAACACTTATCCTCTCTCCCATCCACTTTTATCTCTCCTCTCTTTCTTCTCTTCTATCTGTTGTTTACTCCGTATACTAGTGCTGTCTGTCGCCATCGAACCAATTACCCCTTCAAGCAGGCCAGCCTAGCCTCGTCTCCATCCCATCCAGTCCAGTTCTCCGCCAGCCAGAGCAAGCCTAGTCTAGCCCCTGCTGGCCTGCAATCTCAGCAGAGTTTTCTTCTGCCTTTTTCCTCTTTTCCTCTCTTCAATTAATTTACTTATCTCCAGGGATTAATTTCCACACCTTCCACTGCTTCCACCAACAGGGATGCAGGAAAATTCATGCATGTTCCGAGCCATTTAAGCTATTTTTGGCTCTTATTGGCGGACTTGCTTAACACTAAATAAGTTGTTGCTATGATGATGATGACTATCTACCTAGTAACTTGGTGCGGGAAAAAGCATTGCGATATCTCTCACCCCCTTGCCCCTGGCTTTTTTTGCCTTTTTTTCTTTTTTTAATTCTTTCTCTAGCTTCGGGGAAAATCGATTGGAGATGATGAACACGGGCAGGAAACAGCAAGCAGAGACCTTTTTTTGGTTTCGTTTTTGTGGTTTTGTTTCCTTCTTTGCTTCTTTTTGGCTTCTTTGGCTTCTTTATTTGGGTCTGTTCGCTTGATCAGGTGGAGATGAGGGTGATTAGGTAAGACGGCCAGGCGTCTTTTGCGGAGAGGGAAGATTAGATACTCCGGTAATTTAGTTACGTTGGTACCTGTCTCTGATTGGGTGAGTAAGGTAAGTTTGGCTATAGTGTGTAACACCATGAGTCAGCGTTTGTTTCTTCCCAACTTTCACCAAGGTAGGTATTTATTTGCTTAGTAAGGGGATAAAATCACGAGACCTGTATCTTTTTATTTTCTTATCATGTGACAGTCAGGTGATTGATTACTCATCTCAGCTCCACCAGCGTCGCTTCTCTTTCATGCAAGCCAACACGTAGCCGGAACACTTCCTGCCGCGCTGACTGGCCGTCCGTTTCTTCCCTGCCGCTTCCTGCATATACAAAATCCATTGTACGCTGTGTACGGAGGCAGCTGCCTGCATGCATGGCCCGTCGAGCTAGGCAAAACAGAGAAGGCCCTTCCTTAGCCTCGTCCAGTCGGCTATCAGTACATATATCTCAGCCTGTCCTCGTCTTCTTCTCTGCCAGACTTTCACTGGTTGGCCAAGTTAGCTAGATAACTAACAAGTCGCTTGTTATGGAGACATATTCTCCGAGACAGAGCCTGAGTCGCGGTACTGCTACGGAGTACTGCTACTACCATTGCCATGTCATATTATGCGGTGCCACGCCACGCGGAAAGGAAGCTGTCGTCCCCGGCCGTGCACCACCTACATAAGAACCAAACAATGATGTAGCTATATACGGAGCACAGTAGAGTTACCCAAGCGAGCCCAAAAAGGTGGATGCTTCCCGTTCTCACGGGTCAGGCTGGCCTAAGAAGCCCTGATGTTGCTCCGGCTTTGCCCGGCTCTCTTTCCCCGGCCAAGCAATAGCACGACATGATTCGACCCTCGGCTTTTTCTTCTTCGTGCATTTTTCTCTTGTACAACATCCGACCCAGCAAGGTAGTCGGTTAACTGGTTAGGTAATAGCCGGCCGACGCACAGTGTTACCATCAGACAACACCACAACCCAGCATCACCTGTACCCCATCTCAGCAAGCACAGTCAAGCAAGAGACAGGCAACAGACAAGCAAGCAGCTTTGTTGCTCGTTGCTCGTCGCTCGTAAGATACATCAAATCTCGCTTCGCTTCTTGTGCTGACCCCACCTCTAGGCCAGAACGGGTATAGCTCCAAACCTAGCTACGATCAGATTAGACAAGACAAGAGATTATCAATCTGATAACGAACATGCGCATGGAAAAATTTTCCTCGCTCTAAAGCCTATTTCGCCTCTTGCGGTGGTGTCATTGGTTGTTCGCATGGAAAGGCACGGAACTGAAAGAACTAAATCCAACTGATTGACTGATTGATTAGATGAGGACCCTTGCAGCGGAGAGGAGATGTTTGGGTAGGGAGCTGCTCAACTAGGGTATGCGGGTACGGGAGTTTCTTATAAGAGCTCGTCTGTCGCCCCGTTGAACCATCCTGGTCCTTCCTTTAGTTCTTTTCAGGTTTTATTTCCTGCTTCTACTTTGCAATTGGGTCGCGTGAGCTTGAGCTTGAACTTGAACTTGGGCTGAGTTGGGCTGGGTTGAGGTGAGTTGACTATGCAAGTGGAAGAAAAGATTGCGGCACCTGCCGATGGCGGGCAGGACTACAAGAAGCCCGATGGCCACTACGCTTCTTCCCCCGATGGCGAGCCGGTGATACTGGGCAAGAAGAGTCCAGGTGTGTTACGTGTCGAGGTCATTTCGTCGCATATGACGTTTATAGACCGCATCATCCTCTTCGTCGGCATCTTTATTCTTGCTTATGCGTACGGTCTGGATGGAACACTACGGTTTACTTTCCAGGTCAGTAGTCGCCTCCCCCTTTTCCCCATCCTCCCTTCCATCACATCTACCGTTGATTGATCGGGACTATACTGACTGACTGGTGATAGACATATGCGACTGCTTCGTATAGCTCGCACAGTCTGCTAGCTACCGTCAATGTCTTGCGTGCCGTCATTGCGGCTGCTGCCCAGCCCACCGCCGCTAAGATGGCTGATGTCTTTGGTAGAGCGGAAGTCATCCTGTTCACCATCGTGTTCTACGTTATTGGTATGTTGTTGAGGTCGGCGTTATATCGATAGGATGAATGGTGGTGTTAACGTGTTGCAGGAACCATCGTTGAGGCTACTTCGGACGGCGTCAAGGCGTTCTGTGCCGGCGCAGTGTTGTACCAGGTAAGTCTTTGTCCCAACTTATACTTACTCGTGATACGTCTGACGCTAACACCTTAATAGATTGGCTATACTTCGATCTTGCTTCTGGTTGAAGTCCTCATTGCAGACGTTACTTCTCTTCAAACCCGTCTATTCTTCTCCTACATCCCAGCCACGCCATTCCTTGTAAGCATCCACCTCCCCTATCTGACTACAAACCCATACTAACTTTTCGAAACTCTAGATCAACACCTGGGTCAGCGGAGACATCACCAACGCCATCATCACCCACTCAACATGGCAATGGGGTATCGGCATGTGGGCCATCATCTACCCCGTCTGCGCCATACCAGCCATAACAATCCTATACATCGTCCAGCGTCGAGCAAAGAAAGCCGGTGCTCTAGACAGCTACAAGACCCCCTTCCAAATCTACGGAGGCAAGAAGATCGTCACCGCTATGTTCTGGCAACTTGACATCATCGGAGTCATCCTGCTTCTGGGCGTGTTTGCCCTGATTCTCGTCCCCTTCACCATCGCAGGTGGTCTAGAGACAAAATGGAAGACCGCAAAAGTCATTGCGCCGCTTGTCATCGGTGTCCTGCTTATCCCCGTCTGGCTTTACTGGGAATCTACCTGTTTGCATCCCATGGTTCCTTTCAGAGTACGTCCATCACCCCCGCCGCTTGAACCGAAATGACGCAGATGTCTAACTTGTTTATAGCTCCTTAAAGACCGAGGTGTATGGGGCGCACTTGGAATCGCCATCATGCTTAACACGGCATGGTACATGCAGGGTGACTTCCTTTACACTGTGCTGATCATTGCGTTCAACGAATCCATCAAGAGCGCTACTCGAATCACATCTGTCTACAGCTTTGCTTCTGTCCTCACGGGTGTAGTCATGGGTGTCTTCGTATACTTCTTCCGACGTCTCAAGTTCGTCATCATCGCTGGAACGTTGCTTTTCCTGGTTGCCTTTGGTTTGTTGATTCACTACCGTGGTGGATCAGGCTACTCGAGCCACGCCGGTGTCATCGGTGCTCAAGTCTTGCTTGGAATCGGTAAGTACCGGTTATCCCCCCTGCCTTATGGACCGCACGTTATCTAACATGACCACTTAGCCGGCGGTATGTTCCCATATCCTGCTCAAACATCCATTCAAGCCGCAACCAAGCACGAACGTAAGTCATGCGCTTCCACTAATATATACTACCTCATAACTAACATATCCCAGACGTCGCTGCTATCACCGGTCTATTCCTAGCATCATACAACATTGGCTCAGCGCTAGGAAACACCATCTCAGGCTCGATCTGGACCCAAGTCCTTCCCCAGGCTCTGATGGACCGTATATCCAACCAGACCCTCGCGGGAGAGATATACAAGGACCCATTCACCTTTACCACCGCCAACCCCATCGGTACGCCCGACAGAGACCATGCAGTCGAAGCATACAAGCATGTCCAGCGCTTGCTGTGTATTGGTGGAATATGTCTGTCAGTGCTCCTGATTGCGTTCTCGCTTGTGTTGCGTGATCCTGTGCTTGGAAAGGAGCAGAGTCTTGGGTATGCCGACAAGGATTCTGATGACGAGAGCTCGAATGCCGACACTACTGTTAAAGTATAGACTGGCCAGCACTTGTCGGCGAGGTGTAGCCGGACTAGATCTGGTATTGCTATTGGTGGATGAGTTGGAGTAATTATATATGTGTGGAGGTGGAGGCTAAAAAGGTGAGAGTTTGTATTAATGTTTGGTTGTTTGTTTATGATACCGCTACATAAGTTAGTTAATTAATGCACCGTACATTTTGTTTGATACCCTTCTGGTTATCATACTTGCTGCCAATAACCAATAACTTGCCTGGTTACATGGGTTAGTTGTCTTTCTAGCAAGATGCCACGTCTGCTATTATTCCACAAATAAGAAATTGGTATTCGCTACACCGCTAAATGAGTTTACCTGGCATATATAATCTTAGTCTGGGCTGTAATTAGCTAAGTCGCCTAACTAATACTTGGGTAGTTTGTTGGTTAGTCGGGTAAATACCCATGATACTTACTCTATAAGATAGCTATTATGGATTCGCTAACGCCGTCAGATACATGAGTACTCACCACCCTCCATAACGGAGGTATAGATACTTCGCCTCCCAGTACCAGGTCTAGATAGCTGCATGCAAGACACAGGTGATGATGTTTTAGAGTGGCCCGACAACCTTAAAACTACGAATAACTAGTTAAAGTTAACTAAAAGTGGGTCCTAGCTTCCGCCGCGTCGACTATTTAAACCACCAAAGTTCCGCATCTCGAGACCACCGTATAGTGAAAGCATCGAATTGTTGCATTTCTTACTACAGTGACTATATATATCCCTATTCTCACCAGTTGGATATCTATATAAATAAAACGCCATATCATGTGTATAGCTCTGATCTCAACCGCCCACCCGCGCTATCGTCTGATCTTGCTCAACAACAGAGATGTAACTTCCCACATCCCCACACCACCCGCATACCCACAGTTCATACCAAACAAAGCCAACTAACGAGTATACAGGAATACCTTCGCCGTCCAACAGCAGCCGCGGAGTGGTGGGCAGCACCCAACTCGCACGTTCTAGGCTCGCGGGACCTCGCTAGAGAAGTACAGGGAACATGGATGGGGGTGACAAAACAAGGCCGTCTAGCCGTTCTTACGAACTACAGAGAAAATACTCCCGCGACAATCGTTGGCCTACGAAGCAGAGGCTCCATCATCAATGGCTTCCTTGCACTGCCGCCAGACGACCACACCACGGCCCAGCAGTATATCAAGGACCTTGTTGCTGGAGGCGAGGGCCAGGCTGCAGGTGGATTCAGCCTTGCATGCGGTGACGTACTGGGGCCATTGGGTATAGTATCCAACCGCGCCTCGGCCAGTGATGAGATACCCTGGATAGCAACTGGGCGGAACCAAACTGTGGGACTAAGCAATACGGCGTTTGGGGATAGAACATGGCCTAAGATATTGGATGGCGAGAGACTGCTGAAAGAAGCGTTGCAGAAGAGTTATGCGCGCCAGGAAAACGAGTCGGAGCTTATTGAGCGGTTACTTGCGTTATTGAGCACGGATACGTTGCCGAGATTACATGACAGAGCAACAATGGAGGAATATACACCGTTTTTGAGCGAGAGTATCTTTATACCTGCTGTTGGGGATCCAGATGAAGGCGTGGAAGCTGTTGTGTCTCATGGTGCAGAGGCGCATACGTTATATATGAAGGGGCTGTATGGAACGCAGAAGCAGACTGTTATTCTAGTTGAGGAGCCAGGGAGGGTGAAGTTTTTTGAACGCACGCTTTATGGTGATGATGCGAAGGAGGTTCCCGTTGGCAAGGGGGATAGAGAATATGAGTTTGTTGTCGAACGGTAGGGTTATTTTCCGATTTTGCTGCGTGTTTTGCTGTTTACTGCTAACTTGTATATAGAGCTGGAGAGTCAGAGTCACAGGCAAAGGCCCATCTGTAGACTAGTTTGACTTGAAAAATGTATACGAACCTGCATGACTCCAGGCGTTGGGGCGGTTTATATATATACGGGTTTTATCAACGATTCTTCCTAATGCTTCTACATTTTCCTCTTCAAGAGCCCCTTGAAGAAATCGAAGCTGTTACTGTCACTCTGCAGCTGCCATACTTTCCCTGTTGGCCGATCTTCCCAGCCCAGCTCCTCGGCAATCAAAAGCCCGTAATCCCTCGTGATACCCTTGACTCTTGCACGCACGCCGCCCTCGGCCTCCAAGGTGACGATCTGGTCCATATGCAACCAGTTTGAGTAATACATGTCTTCGAATTCCTTGTCGAAGCCAGTGCGGAGGAAGCGGCCATATAGCTCTTCAAAAGTGGTAAGGATGCGAGCTAGGAGCTTTTCCAGGGACGGGGGTTCTGGGTTTGATGTTGATTTGAAGCACTGTAGGAGGGCATTTAGGGATGTCGTGGGGGCTGGGTTTAGGGCGTTAAGTCCTGCGCCTACCACAGCGATGTATTCGTTTGCCGAGTAGTGGGCGTTGACTAAGATGCCACCTATTTTGGTGTATGTTTTGCATGTTGGGTCAGATGGATCCAGAGCGTCTGTGAACGTTGATTAGTACAGCTGTTGAAAAGTGTCTTATATCGTAGGCTTACATATATCGTTTGGCCATTTTAGTTTTACTGGCAAAGTCTCGTAGCCTTTACCGTAGCTCTTGACGCCCTGGACGATGGCCATGGCAACGAGATATTGAATGAAAACTACGGGGGACAACATAAGCTTGTCGACTGGATGATGCACGCAGACAGAGAACATGAGCTGGCCTGGTGGAGAGACCCAGACGTTGGAACCACGGCCTCGACCGGCCACCTGGACAGTAGCGGTGGCCGTGGTGCCGTTGGGTAGCCTCCGTAGTAAACGAGAGTTCCTGATACAGTGTTAGTTATATGTGTTATATTGTGTAGGACAACCAGGCACTGACTTTTCTAAGATGGTATTGGTACTAGTGACCACTTCACCGTATAGCATATGCGAGCCAAAGACCCTAGAGTCCTCCTTCGACCGGAGCCTATACTCTTTCAAATTCGAGTAAAAGGCATGATGGTTGAAATATGGAGTTGTTTTGGTGTCTGGCAGCTCGTCGTTTATCACCAACCGCTTGACAACGGCGTTATAGTCGACTATTCTATCCTCAACGTCAGTAGCAGCGGCCTCTGTCTTCGTCGATGGAGTGACCTCTGGCAATGCCTCTGCAACCTTGGCCATCTTCATGGAAGACGGCTTCTCAAGGATGAAGGTATCGTTGTCATCCTTGACGTAGTCTTCGCCGTCCTCTGTGGTGATGACATCTTCCAGGGAGGATAGAACCTCTAGAGCAGCGCCTGGCTCAAGGGCAGATAAATGAATCTGGGAGAGAGACGGTACCGTAGTTGTATCTTGATTGATCTGGAGGCCGAGTTTGGCCAGACATGCCTTGAGGAAGTCCGTCCTGACCTTGTCGTCTCTCGCTAGCACATCCACGACAGAGGAGTAGTCAGGGGCTGAGGCCTCGTCTCGGTCCAGGTTGGCAGCAGAGAATCTACCATCTCGTTAGTCTCATACATCTAAGTATCATATATGCTAACATGTCATATATCAATATGTAATAATAGTAAAGGTAATGGGCTCACTCTGGATGAGGTCCGGTCAAGATAGCGGCACCGTCTCCCACCGGACAGTAGACAACAGCGGCCTGGCCCTCGCCCGGATCGACATGTAGCTTCTCCGTATAGCTGGCAAGCACCTCTATCCCCTCGTCTGCGTACTTGGACGCATCGACGAAGACGCCGCCGCCGTTGTAGTAGCACTTGAAGGTATCCGGGACGCTCCCCACGGGCAGCGCAGACCGAGACACCTTTAGGTCCGCAGCTCTAGCACCCTCTTCCGAGTGATAGACGAAGCCAGCAAAGGCGCACCCCCTCGCGATGCCCGGGAAGAAGGCCAGCTCTCGGTCACCTATGACCTCGAGCTTCTTGTTGCCGACCTCGAACTCGCACCGCGCGCTGCCGTAGTAGCCGCCCGCGCAGAGGCCAAGATAGCTGCCGCCACGCTGGACGAACTGCTTGATGCGCCTGTTGCCCTCGCCGTTCAGGGTCCTACAGTACGGCAGGTCAGCGCCGCCGGGCATGACGAAGAGGGCGCAGGAGGCGGTCCAGGGCTCCTTGATGACCATCTCGCCGGTGACGGGGATGACGGCGTAGTTGGGCGACAGGATGCGGCGCAGGGTGTACAGACACTGCCGCACGGAGTCCACTGTCGTGCCATTGCCTGGAGGCGCCGTCAGAATGTTTTCTCGCCAGTCAGGGTAGGTTTGCGCACCGGAATATACCAGGACGTTGAGTCTCTTGGAGGCGCCGCTGGCCATCTTCGTGTATCAACAACCACAATCACCACTTTTCGACTTCAAGCCGCGCGAGAGACAGCCAGGATGTCCGGGACAGAGAAGCGGCCGCAGACGGTCCAAGACGACGACGACGACGAGCCCGATGACTGGTATTTATTGCTTCTTCTGCTTCTTCTTCTGCTGCTGCTGCTTCTTTGCTGCGTGGGTGTACTTATCCAGGCTGACCGCACACAGGGACAAGCGAATCTCCAGCACCGGCTGCGCAGGTAACCCGACGCTCCAGCAGATACTGAATAGTGGTTAGATATGTGGCAGACAGTGACGCTGACGAGACCAGACGAGCAGCTGAAGATGAACGACTGTTACTACGACAAGAAAGACTGGCGGGCGTGCAGCAAGGAGGTTGGTAGTCTTTCTTTTATATTGCTTCTTTGCTGCCCGGAAGGCCACCGAGCAACTCGGCTGCGGCCAGCGGAGGGTTTTCTCTTGCCTTTCAGACGGCTGCTACGCTCGATATGAGGCTGCGATGTCTGTTAATTTATCCCTGGTTGACGGTGATGCTGACGCTGGTGTCTACAGATGGAGGCCTTTAGGGAGTGCTGGAAGCGCCACGGAAACGACCAGCGGACAGAGACTCGCGACGCTTAAGACTTTTACATCCTCTTCTCTCTCTTTTCTTCTACTCGACTGTATTCTATCTCCTCTTTTTTTGCTTCCTCTTCCTTTATTTACCTGTATTATTATTATCCAATATCAAACTGCAGCAAATCTCAACTATCGATCACGGGATCTCCAGCTTTTTCTCTTCTTCGACTCCAAACGCGAACTTGCGCGCAGACAAAGAAGGCCATAGACGACATAGACGAGCAGAACAGAAGGAGAAAAGAGGAAGACGATGGCTTCTCTGGCGATGCGGAAGGCTAGCTGGGCCTGTGTGTCCCGTCCGTCGACATACTCGAGGCTCGCCGTGAGCTCTGCCGTGTGCAGACAGATATCCTCCTCCAAGCCGGCGTCAAAAACGACATCAACACCTACATACCGACAGAACACCTCTAGCAATTACCCCAGAAGGACATATAACAGCTACAACAAGACCTCGTCGTCCTCACAGTCAGCTTCTTCACCAGCCCCGTCAACCTCAGCTCCCAAACCAGCCGCCTCGACAGCACCAGCTCCAGCTGCACCTTCGTCTCCATCTTCATCCACGCCCAAAGACACACCCTCAGCACCAGCATTCACAACATCGCAGACGTCGCACCCAATACAAAACATCACCAAGACGGGCCTTGCCGATGCGCCACCAGAACTCGTGCTAGAACCAGCAAACGTGCCCAATGGCCACGTCGACTGGACACGCTCATACCACGGTCTAAGCGCTGAGCCGTTCTCAAAGGAAGCTGCTGCGATACTACTTGCGCCCGTCGAGCCAGACGACGTCGAGATCAAGCCTGATGGCATTGTATACTTGCCGGAAATCAAATATAGGCGGATCCTGAACAAGGCGTTTGGACCGGGCGGGTGGGGTCTTGTACCGCGCAGCGAGAGCATAGTTACAGGCAAGACGGTGACCAGAGAATACGCCTTGGTTGCACACGGACGGTAGGCCTCATATTCTTTCCTTCCTTTCTTTACTCTCGTGATAATGATGTGTTACTGACGGTTACAGGCTGGTATCTGTATCCCGTGGTGAACAAGACTACTTCAGTCCGGACGGCATACCCACCGCCACAGAAGGGTGCAAGTCCAATGCGATGATGAGATGCTGCAAGGACCTGGGTGTTGCGAGTGAGCTGTGGGATCCTCGCTGGATCCGCAAGTTCAAGGCTGCGTATGCAAAGGACGTGTTTGTAGAACACATGGTGAGCAAGAAGAAGTCGAAGATCTGGATACGCAAGGACGACGAAGTCATGTATCCGTGGAAGAAGACCTAGCCTCTCTCTCTCTACTGTATCAATATTATAGCTGAGCGGTGTGTACATTAGGATAGACAAAACTCATCTACAGATAGCTGGTATTTTATGTAGATAGTAGTGGCGATGCGCTCAAACTGTTGAGCAAGCAGTATGTACAGCCGTGGATAGATGTAGGTAAGTGTGTATGTACAAGTCGGTAGTTCATCCATGTATCCAGCCAGCCAAATCCCAATAATGCAACAGAGAGAGCCGTAAATATGTAAGGAGTGAAATAAGAAATCAGATCCGTCCATGCAAAGTCCCGGGTACGGAAAGCTTTTGACCCAACGCCGTGCACCGTAACAGTGGAAATAGATAAACAAACCCAGATAAATCATCAAAAAGAAGGTAGAGGTAGAGGTGCATGAAGTAGATTTAAGTGCTCGGGTTGGCACTCGGGACAGGGACGGGGGGAGTATCAGACTCCCCGTGCTGTCTGGTGCGTATACGGAAGCGCTCGACAAAGCGAGCAGAGAGCCTGTTGCGCCGTCGTTCGTCTGCGTTTGCGTGTCTGGACCGTAGATTGCGAGCATGCTGGAGGCCGGCTTCGTCTCCGCCGGTTTCAGCGGATGTGCGAGACTGGTCTCTGACTCTGTTGTCAATGGCAGGGTCTCCTTCGATGCCAGTGACGGTATCATGCTGCTGTTCCTGTTCCTGTGCTTCAGGGTTGAGGTTTATTCGGCTGTCACGGTGTTAGTATAAGATACGGAAAGACATGTAGGGAGGGATGGACGTACCAGAGAGGACAAGTGCCAGAGACGTCTACGAGCCATGGATCAACGCACTCTGGGTGGAAAGAGTGGTTGCAGGGCAGGAGACGGACGTCCTGTCCACGCACAAACTCGTCGGTGCAGATGGGACAGGTAGTGGACGGTTCTCGCTCGGATGCTGCTGAGCCCGCTGCTGATGCTGATGGCGATGCAGCACGGGCTTGCTCTTGATGCTGCTGCTCAACCGGTGCATCCGCAGACGTTGCTACTGCTGCTGTCGCTGCTGCTGGTGAAGCTACACCTGTCTCCGCGGCAGTGCCGGAATCGACGGGTACATTTGTATGCTGCTGCGACTGCGACTGCGACTCCGGCTGGGTAGTATTTGGACGAGCATCCTCGCCGAGCTCGACATCATGCTGCTTCGGCCGGTCTCTATCCTCGCCGAACTTGACGATGGGCAAGGTATCCAGCATCGCTCTGGCAATCCCCTTTGCTCGACTCTGCCTCGCTCGGCCGGGTACATTGCGAGGCCCGTAGCGATCCGGATGGCGGTGCGCACGAATGGCACCTGTCAAGATAACGGCCAGGAACAAGAGGGTGATAATCCCCGTGACGGCGTACAGGATGATCATGGCGGTGTTGCGAGTAGTTTCGACGCCGTTGTTGCGCGGGTCTCCCTGGTGCGGCCTGGAAGGCTGGGGGTCTTCCTGCAGCGACTGGGCGGCCGTAACGGGCCCGGTGGTCGAGATCGTCGCATTATGGCGCGTGGTCGAAGTGAGCAGGGCGTTTGCCAGCTCCGGGTCTCGCAGTGAGAAGATGGTCTTGTATTTGGAGGCCGGGTCTTCTTCACGGTCTCCTTCGTAGTCGCAGCGCACGGCGTGGGTGGTATACAGCAGGATCGCCGCCGGACGGATCGGAGCAGCCAGCAGGACGCCCAGCATCTCGCTAGGGTCTATGTTCTCTAAGTAGTCGTCTGGGTCGCATGATAGATACGCGATATCGCCGGCCTTGAGCCTGTTGGCGTTTCTGCGGCTCACGGTCACCAGCCGGCCAGAGATGCGAAGGCCCTAGTTGCATTCACGTATTAAATTAGCACGGCACAGCCATCTACAACGCAACGCCGCAACGCCGCCACGACAAAAGCACCGGCAGGGGAATACCTTTAACGGCTCGTCAGGGACGTAGAGGTCAGAGGTGGACGGGTAGAGATGCAGCTTTTCCCTGCCCTCGTACGGCTCCGGGTCGAGATCGAGCGAGTACAGCGGGCTGCCGACCTGCAGCTTGCCGCGCGATTCGATGGGCGTGATCGACTGGGCGCCGGCGAGGCCTAGGCTGAGCGCGAGGGCAAGAAGCCGCCTGAGGGAGGCCATGCTGGGGACATGAGATGGATCTTGAAGAGAAGAAGAAGAAGAGAAGAGAAGAGAAGAGAGAAGTTGAAGGTGTTGAGGAGGTTGAGAAAAAGTCGAGGCAATAAGATGAGACGATCGACAGAGGCCGGGGAAGAGACAGATGAAACCCGCTTGTCTCGCGCGAGCTACAAACGAGTAAGTACCTGGAGATACTTCAGACACGTCCTACGGCGACAATTAACTGACTACTCGCCAGATACCGGGGTCACTGCTTGCTGCTAGACGAGGCGATCGGCTGTTAATGCTCGTCTTTGCTGGCTGTGGCCGTCTGGCTGGTTGAGTTGCGGCTTGTTCGGCTCGCTAGGAGATCGCCTTTTTGCTCTGCTCGCCTCGTATTCAGCACCATTTGCTCCTCTTGCGCTGCATTAGCTGCCGATCTTCTTGTTGGAGACGTCATCGGCCTACGGGAGGTGCGGATACGTGGTGGTACATGCGTGGTTACGAGGCAGTGGTGGTAAATGGTCAAATTGAACGAGCGACTCGGGTGAGATAGATACAAAAGAAAGCAGACAGGACAGGAGACCCAAAGATGGTACCCAAAGATACCCAGAGAAGATACCCAGCGAAGATACCCAAAGATGGCAGAGATGGCAGAGATGGCTTCTCATTTAACACAGAACAGACCAGACGTTGAAGGGGAAACGAGACCATCCGTCCTTGTCGATCGAGTTGGCGGTTCCCTTGCAGTCGCGGCCCTCGTAGATGTCGCAGTCGCCGCCGGTCGACCAGCCAGAGACGTACGGACGGCCATCTGGTTCGTAGCTGGCAGTCAGCATGGTTGATATAACTATAGCCAGTCTACGGGCAGAGAAGAAGAGAAGAGAAGACGTACCCTTGGATACAAGGTTGGTGCAGATGGACCAGGTAGCGTCGACAGGAAGGCAGTCCCTTTTGCCTGTCTTCTTGCACATCTGGAGGACGGTGGCTTCGGTGACAGAGACGGAGAGCATGCCAACCAGTACGGCGGTGATAGTAGTGAGCTTCATTTTGACTTGGGTTTGGCTGATTTGGCTGATTTGGCTGTTGCTGTTGCTGTTGGTCTCTGTTGATTTGGCTGTTGTTGATATTGATGGACACTTTGATAGAGCTGGCGAGAATCTTCACATTTTATATACGCCTACATCTACCTATCTACATGTCTATGAGATGCTGATGAGGACCGAGATGAGGACCGAGATGAGCTGAGAGACTGAGAAGAGCGATGTCTTCTCACGCCGGCCCAGCATCTCACTCTGGTCTGTAAGCAGTAGAAGCTCTCAATATATGCATCAACCATCAACGTCACCAATATCAAGCCAAGTCAGTCAGCATCTTATCCTTCCAGCGAGCATTTTTTACTCGAATACAGCGGTGCCTCTCGTATCGTCCGAGCCAAGCTGGAGCGGGATGAAAAAGCGCACGGCACTGCCAGCCCGGCGCACGCCCTAAAGACCACCAAAGAGACAGGCCAGACAAGACACACTGGAGAGCAAGTTCCAGCAACAGTCAGAAGATGACGGCTCAAGACGTATCACGACGTCGAGCTGTGATGCTGATCAGTGAGATCGTTTATACATTTATCGTCCAGATAGATATATAAACAGACACATCTACCACTTAAACAACCAGAACAACGACTTGAACACCAATATCTACATCTACATCTACAAATATCAACATCTCAAGATGAAACTTTCTACGGTGGTGATCGGCCTTCTGGTCACCTTCGTCAGCGCCTCTCCCGCCGACACCGCACTTCTCACCCGAGCCATTGGATCTGAGTGTAAAGCTCCAGAGGGTGAAGGATCATGCCAGAAGACAAGCGACTGCAAGGGCATTTCCTATTCCCAGCCTCTCTGCCCAAGCGACCCAGCCGACGTCCAATGCTGCGTTGAACACAAGTGCAGCACCGGTGCAGGCCATGGGTTCTGCCGCAGCCTCTCCAACGGCTGTCCCGGCGGCCGTTTCGATAAGGGATCCGGACCTGTATGACATCCATCTACCTCTCTACCTATCTACCTACCTCTCTTACTGCTGGTGATATAACTACTAAAACTACCATCTAGGAATGGCCATGCCCAGGCGGCAATGACATACAGTGCTGCATCAAAAGGGAAGACGACAACGACCCCCCAGGCGACGGCGACGGCTCTATCGGCCAACAGGTCCTTGACAAAGCCCTGACCGCTGCTGGCATGCCATATGCCTGGGGAGGAGGAAGCTGTGACGGCCCAACCGGCGACATGCCCCCTTGGGACAACGGCGAGATCGGGTTCGATTGTTCCGGCCTGGTAAGCTGGGCGGTCTGCCAGGTTACGGGACGAGATCTGTTTAAGGAAGGCCTGCGCGTTACCAGGACGATGTACTGTGCTTCAGAGGAGAAGCTGCGCTATAAGTATAAACACACACTCTCTCTTCGGTGTTGAGATGGTCAGGTCATGCATGTTGCTAACGATGATGTCAGGAAATACCCCTATGCCGAGCGCCAGGCGGGAGACGCTGTTTTCTTCGGCGGAAAATGCAGTTGCGCTCAATCGGATACGATTCACCATGTTGGTTTGATGATGTGCGTATATCTCTTCTTCTTTATTGTTTGTCTGTTTAATCAAACGCTGATGTCTTCTAGGGACTCTGGAGATCGTATGTGGAATGCGCCTAACGACAAGATCAACCGCGTCCAGGAGAACAGCATCTCGCGCTGGGGAGAGAAGCCTTGCCCGTTCGTCATTCGCTTTGAGTAGATCATTTGGTAGATGGTAGATCTTTTGTCATTTTTTTCTCTTCTTTTCTTCTTGTCTTTTTCTTGTCTTCTTCTTGTTAGTGGTAGAATTGCAGTCTCTATAAATAGATAACTATGTGGCCAACCCCCTGCTCTTAGTACTCTTGTTAAACCCCTGGTTGCCCCTTAATATATAAATGAGGACCTCTTGCTCTTCTCCTTCTTTTCTATATCTTCCGTCCTTCTCTTGAAAATATTGACTCTACCTTCTCTAATAACAGTCCCACTATAGCCACTCGAATATCACCATGGAGCCATACTTAATCTTACTCAGCTCCGTCAAGATAGCACGTTCATGAAGATCTCCTATAAATAACCACTGCTCATTGTATCAAAATAAACATGATATCATATTCAATATACAACTATATTAATTGACATCCATTTCTACATCCACCAGGATCTAGCAGTCCACAGGCAACGCAGGCTCATCGGTATGCTCCGAAGCCAGCTCAACTTCCGCAGCCCTACGCCTAACCAGACCAGGAAGCACCTTTCCACCCGCCTTGTTCCACAGCGGCAACTCCTCTCTGAGCACCGTATTGACGTCCTGGCCCTGGTTGAGCCGACGGATGAGCGAAGACTTCTTGGCTGCGCCTCCACCGATGTTGAAAGCCCATGACACCAGAGCGCCGTACTCGTTGGCGTTCAGAACCACTTCGTCAGTAGTAGACAGCGTGATTGACTGTTGGAAACTCTATAGGCAGCATTAGCATGACGTTGACTAGGCAGTGTTTATATGATGGAGTTACGTACCTTGACGTCCTGCATGAGAAGTTCAGTGGCCGTGTCTTCGGTCAGGGGGAAAGGGAAGGGAACCTCAGCGCACCCCTTCGTGCGGCAGGCATGGCCATATCCAACTGTTGGCAGGCCGATGGGGTCTGGAGCAGGGCGAGGAACGAAACCTTCGAAGTGCTTGATCAGGGAGATGGTTGCTTCGTTGACGTCTGGGCCGATACAGTCTCGTTTGAACTTGGAGGCGCTTGGCTGGGCCACGGCAGGGATGGCGAGTAGCAGGAGGGTTGCTGGATGCATCTTGACGGTCACTTTTGCTGTCGCACGATGGTGATGGCGATTATGATGTTGATACTGCGGGTTGGTATCCAATTGCCCATGATGTCTCTTGAGTCTTTATATCCATCCATATACATCCCTATACGGATGTCAGCTCGACACCGAGTACCATAGGCAGGACTCTGACAAGTAAGAGTCCATCATGCCAATATCTGTAGGGCTGAGGGCCGGAGTGGCCTCTCTTCTGACATCGACATGGGCCCTGTTTGAGAATCGCATCTAGCCTCTGCATGTCAGATTGCAGGGCCCCAGGGGTCCAATTGGGGCTAATTATATCTGTATCCCCACGAACGTTTGACTAGTTGAAGTAGTTAGCAAGCTATACCATCGTATCCCTACTCCGGCCCGTCCGTTCATAATATAGGCTGTTTGGTGGAGGTTCGTTTCTAGAGGCGACTTACTTTACCCCTGAGCCTGACTACGGCCCGTAGCTCATCCGCGCCCTGGGGGACTGCACTTCCAGGAGCTAAGCGGTTCCTGAGGGCATGAAGAACATGAAGAGAAGAGAGGAGATCTCATTCTCATGGTAAGATGAAGATGTCTGGTTGAAGTCAAGGGCGTAGATACCTGCGTACGTATGCCTGAGTCTTGACGGGTATAAAGACGAGAGGACGAGCAGTAGAGCAACCTCGTAGAGCACCAGATAAATCTCATAGAATCATAGATATCTTCACCACCATGAAGTCTCTTCTTCTCGCTGTGTTTGTCGCTGCTGCTGCTGCTGCGTCGACAATCGGCGTCCCTCTCGTCCCTTGCGACACGCCAGAAGTAAGAAAACACCAACAACATCTCGACTTCACTTCTTCAACGACATCAAACATCACCAGCTAACAATAGCTAACCACCACCATCAACAGGGTCGTCACGGAGTCTGCCAGGTTACCCCCAGGTGCTTCGGCACTTCCGTGTGGTATCTCCTTACTCCAGTCCATCATGCTGTCGGTGGTATATGGTACTGACTGTCAGCTACAGGCACCCCAAATGTCCCATCACCGGCCGCTGCTGCCTCAGTCCTTTCGACAGACGAGCAGCAGCTAAAAGAGAATCAGATGAATGCTCTTCTCCAGCCCCGAATACGTGCAGCTTCTACTCGAACTGTCTTGAGCAAAAGGTCCCCTGTGGGCCGGACGGCTACGCTCTCGCTTACGGAGACCACTACTGCAACCGCTTCTCAGCCGCAAGTCCACAGCTCTCCACGGGTGGCCAGGAATGGGTCACCAAGACGATGCTCTGTCTGCAGCGGAAATTGGTGTCTGTGGCTACGGGTGAAGATGAACAGACCTGCTCTGCCGTGAAGGAGTTTGCCTTCTCGACGCACCCGGAATGCTACATCGAGGGAGGAGTCTGTCTACTTCCCCCGAGCGACTGGCTGACCATCGTGGACACGGTTGGGTTCATGGAGCTGTTTGATAGCATCGACGCCCTGGCTGCCACGCTCAGAACAGTCAAGGGCTGTCTCGACTTTTATCTCTGGCTCATCAGAAACCATTTCATCCATTCAGATGAGTCAACCAGCCAACTTCGACCAGAGTAAATGCTTAGTACTACCCCTGGCAATGAACGCACGGCGTACCGTCATCTCCCAGCTTTCGACCTGTCAGCCATTCACACGCAAGGGTACGTAATGCTCAATGCCCACAGGGAAGGTGGACCGTTGTTCTGGCCCAGGTGGAGATGAAACCGCCGCCTCTCGCTGCCGTTTTTTCTTTCTTCATCTCGGTCTTTTTCCTCTCCTCTCCTCTCCTTCTTCCTTTCTCCATCCTCACCATCTTTTTCTCGTTTAACTCCGCTGATCGGTCCTTACCTGCTTGCTTCCTTGTTCATCTTCACATTCATTTGTTTCTAGTTGGGATCTCCCCCTTCGCTCATTACATATTACGAGAACCCTGACACTCATTACATTACATACAACGATCCCCAGTTCATCAGCGTAGATACTTATATATTCTTTCTTCTTCCTGCCCGTATCTGCTTTTGCTTGCTCACGTTATTGTCAATCATTCCCCATGTCCAGCCGTCCTGGCATCGGCAAACGATTCTCTCACGACAGATTCACATTCTACCAGACTCAGATCCAAACGGCATGCCCAACGACGCCACTATCGACATCCCTCTGACGGCCGTGCCTAGTGTGCCGCAAACCGGTGCCCGCAAGCCAGAAGACGGCGAGCACTACTTCGAAAAGAACCATGACGGTGCTGATGCTGGCGCCGGCGAGGGCGCAGAACGCTCGTTAGGGGGCCAGCGTCGAGCTCACGGCCACCACCATTACGGTGACAGATCGGCCAATTCAGCCGAAGACGGCACCGTCACTCGCATGGGCAGATTCTACAATAAAATTCTCAATTTCTCCGTCGTCACCAGATATTTCATCTACGTCCTGCCCTTGGCTTTGCTTTTTGCCGTGCCTATCATCGTTGGTGCCGTTGCTGCCCCCAATGCCAGCATTGGTGGTGTCCGCCTCGTCTGGTTCTTCGCCTGGGTTGAGATCGTCTGGCTCAGCTTGTGGGTGTCAAAGGCCGTGGCTCACTATGTGCCCTTCCTCTTTCAGTTTCTCTGTGGTATCGTCAGCTCAGGAACCAGGAAATATGCTCTTATCCTCAGGGCATTGGAGATTCCGTTCTCCCTCGTCGGATGGGCCCTTACCTCCCTGGCTACTTTCATTCCAGTGCGTACTTTACGTTTTCTCTCACTATACTAGAATTACTGCTGACGTTTTTAGGTGATGACCCGCAACCCAGATAACATCAAGAATCCAGTGATCAAGCCATGGCAGACTGTGGTCAACAACATCCTGTTTGCCTGCTTCATCTCGTCTCTCATCCTCGCTGCGGAAAAAGTCCTCGTTCAGCTTATCTCCATATCCTACCACCGCAAGCAATTCGACTCCAAGATCCAAGAGTCCAAACGAAATGTTCATCTGATCGGTATGCTCTACGCTGCCTCCCGCAAGATGTTCCCGGAGTACTGCAAGGAATTCGAAATGGAAGACTACATCATCAACGACTCCATCATGGGTATGAC